AAACACCTTTAAATGGGGAATAAATTGCAAATGACTCAGCTGAGGCAGTGCATGGGGCACTTCTCTATGTAATCTGCATCAGGGCTTTTAGCTCAAAAATTCCAGGTGCCCTTATGCCCAGATAGAGTATTTGTGGATGGTTGTCTTGGTCTTTTGTAGCCCTCTTTCATCCTGGCCACCACCTCCCGAAGTGCATCACTCAGGTTTTCACTCCATGTCATCCAAAATCCGAGTTTACCTGCAAATGTTGCTGTGAGATGGATGATGTCAGAAGTATGTTTGGTAACAACAGCACAAGGCAGATCCTCGTCAGCCAAGTGCCTGCTCTCCATTTCCACCCCTGTTACACAGAAATTGCTTCCACTTCACAGTATCTCTTCAAAAAGGTGTTTAGGCAGCGAAGTAATTGCAGTTAAGCTTTTATAAAGGAGTATTTATAGGCCTACAGCTATGCTTCCACTGAAGCATATTGCTAAGTAAATCCCACAAGACATTAAAGCTGCAAGATAAACATCAGTGGTTTTAAAACTAAATAAACACAGCAAATCATTGTGAAAGCTGATTAAGGAAAGTAAAAAACATGTGACGAGTGCTACTAATGATTACTACTAAACAGCAACAATAAAAACTACAGTGTTCAGCAGTGAGGTTTTTTTAAATGTCTGGTCACTTAAAAGTCAATATAAAATTAGATTTTTCAGATATTCCGAAGTTTTCCAAGGTTTTAATTCTAAAGAAAAAGCTTCCTTAGTGAAATCTTAATGGGTTCCTGATGGAATAAGAGCATTGAGAATGATAATAAAAACTACCTACAGATTGCCAGAGAAAGCATTAAATCGTCTACTCCTTCCAGTTATTATAGCTACCATTACCTTTCTGAAACAAAACAAGCACGCTTAAAAAGAGCAGTTCCTGACACTCTCTGAAACCGAACACTCCAGCTAACAAAGTCAATAGCAAGATTTTCACGAACACCACAAAGCCAAGGAATCACTCATGTTCTTCCTCATGTGCTTTTGAGACTGGAACAGTTCTGGCGACGCAAACCTAAAATCACGAATGAACCAAGAGGGAAAAAAGCACAACGCAAAACAATCTCACACACATCTCCCTCGACCTCTATGCCCCTATCTCTTTAATGCCTATCTTGTACCATCGAGAAAGAACAGGCCTTTTTTACTTATTACAGTGTAATCAGAGAGTACGGAAAACACTCAGCTTCCGATCCCTATGGGGAGGCAGATAGCTGTAGGAGAGAAAGACAGAGAGTGCAAGAGACTGCCAGCAAAAATCATGATAGTCTCACGGATTTGTTTGTTATTTAAATCCTTTTTCTTTTTTTATTTTTCCCTCCAGTGCTCTGCTGCAAGGGGAGAGCTGATTATAAAAATGAAACAACAGTGCAAGCCCTGAATTAAGTAAGCCATCAGCAAGGAGGATGGTATTAAGAGCAAAAACCTGCAGGAAGTGCCTATGAAATAATATCCTAAAGTCCTAAGGGGGAGGAAAAAATCCCTAAGCCAAAATAAAACAGCTGCATAGAAGCGGATGATTAGTGCA